AGTTTACACATCTTCCTATGCTTCTGCAGCTCAGTGACAGAACTTCACCAGCAGTGCTTTCAGCAGCACTCCAAAGCACAGCCCTGCAGAGATTAAGCTTCCTAATTTTCAAAAGCAATTCAACCATTTTCAAGCCAACATTTTTCTGTATTTCCTTCACCAAATGAACAATAAAAAGGCTGGAATACTAAAACACTTTTGTTCTGGCAGAAAACAAGACAAACCAGGTACAGATTCGCTAGCTGAACGGAACTCAGCTCCTGTCATGTATCTCAGTAGTTCATACCCTTTTGTTTCCAGCAATACCCAAGGGCACACAGAGCAGGAGGCTCTACCTTTTCCTAGCTGATGACTGACAGCAAAAAGCATTGATAATACCTTGTTTCTTTGAGGTATGAAGTTTAAAAATGCAAGTTTCACCATGAAGTCTTCCCTGTTCATTAAGACCTGCCCAACAGCTTTCCCTCCTCTAATCCCCAGCTCCCAGCTGCACTGAGAATTCTGCAGTCAGTAAGTTTGATGCCTCACAATCCATATTCTGAAGCATACCTATGTTTTGCTTTAATTGCATTAACATACAATTAACAAGCCACATAGGTTTCCAGATTTCTTAAAGCTAAGTTTCCAGAAGCACAAAAGCACAAGAAACACAGTACTGTTACCTCGGAATCACTAGCAAATTGCCTGGCATGACACAGCCCCAAGACCTTCTCTCCTGAGAGGGGCAAGCAGTGAGGAACAGCTACTTGAGAAGAATCTCATCTTCTACTCCTCATAGGAGGCAACAGCATTTCTTCCTCCTGTATTCTGACACAACAGCACGTCAGGTTTGCTGCAGCAGTGTGCCTGCAGTACTGCCCTGTCACTGTTCAGCACACACAGGCACCACCAGCAGCACTTATTGAACAGTCAGGAATTCAACTCCCCTGGGAAGCACAGCACAGCAGTCTCTGTGGCGCAATCGGAGAGCGCGTTCGGCTGTTAACCGAAAGGTTGGTGGTTCGAGCCCACCCAGGGACGGAGGGGATTCCTTTTAAGTGCCAAGTCCTGCCCCAGGAAAGGAATAACCACGAGCACCAGTATAGGCTGTGGCCACCCCACTGGACAGCAGCTTCACAGAAACAGACCTGTCATAATGGCGCTTTGCCGGCTTTGTTCACTCAGCATCTGCCAGAAGCTTTGCTGGCTTTGTTCACTCAGCATCTGCCAGAACGCCCAGGTCCCTTCCCAGGGAAAGCTCAACATCTCAAAGAATAGTCTGGAAGGCACCCAAGAAAGTCCAACTTCTGCCCTGCACAGGACAGCCCCAAGTCTCACACCATGTACCTGACAGCACTCTCCAAACACTTTTGGAACTCTGTCAGGATTGGTACTGTGACCACTGCCCTGGGGGCCTGTTCCAGTGTCCAGCCACACTCTGGGTGAAGAATCATCTTCTAATATCCAACCTAAACCTCTCCTGACAGCTTTATACCAGCCCCTCAGGTTTCCTCCATCTTACTTCTGTAAGTGTCCTTACTCCTGTTCACCTGCCCACAGGCTTAGCATGCATCTATCTATCTACCTCATACCTACTATGAACTACAGAATTTACATTTAAAGCTGAATTTCAAGAGATGACAGATAATCCCTGATATAAAAAGTTTATACATTTATATATTTTATTAAATTGCATTAATAGTGTCAGTCATACTAAATATGCTTACTATACCATGCATTATAATAGTTTCCATTTTGTGTACACAATGTATAACACTTTATTAAAACTGTCTTCACTGTTTGAGGGGCTGCTACTGCTCTTCCCTGATCTCCAGTTCACAGCTTCGCTCCTAATCCTAAGTAGCTACATCTGGACCTTCTCATTACTGTTAAAGAACAAGTTTCATGCTGTCAACAACATCTGGATAGCCACATTCCTCAGAAAGTCCAGCCTGACAAGCATTAAGAACTGGGAACCAAGCACTCCTGTCAAAAGGATCCAAGCAGACTTATTACCAGATGCTAGTAAATCCAGAGCTGATGATACACAGAAAACACTAGAAGAGTTTCCTTCCAATCATGATTTGACACTTCTATTTTAACACTTTTCTGAGGTTGTTTTAAGCTTCGAAAATAAAGAACTAGAGCCCAGAAATTCTAGAAGTTGACTGGGAATTTTGCTATCATTGCACATAAAATGTGCATAGATGTCACAGAAACTGGGAGCATGGGAAAAAGAAATATTTACTCACTGTGACCATTTTCACTCTAACAGAAAGGACCAGATGTTACTCAGGCACAAGGCTAAGGACAAAATTTCCATTGCATTAAATTAATCACAGAACATATGAACGCAGTAGTTTGAAAACACATCTTCACAGTTCTTTGCCCACATAATACCTCAAAGATTTAATTAAGATGCCACAGGTACTCACAAAGAAAGGGCGTAGAAACCAAAAAATCTTGGACATTTTAATGGAGAGCTTCTCTCTTTTTTTCTCCCACTGCTGGACAGTGGCCAGGAAAAACACTTTTATTTTGCCCTTCAAGGCTCAGCTAGGTCTGAAATGCATGTAGTGATTTGTCTGGTAACATGAAAAAGTCCTGTTCATGCTAATGTTGCTTATTGATGCTTTCATCAATAAGGCATTACTAAGGCACCAGTAAGGCATGCAGAAGGACAGCAAGACACAAACCTAACGCAGGGGCTTTGGACAGGATGGATGCAGCACCATGACCACTTGCAACAATCCTCCAATAGCTAAATAGCAGTAACTTGTATTGATCACAACACAGGCTGCCCAAATACTGTAAATATTCGAAAAAATGTATCAGTTAGGCCTCAAAACATAGAATTACTGTACCAAACTACAGGGCAAAATTAGAGGGGTTATTGTAGCTCACTATATATCAGGTTACTGGCAAACAAGGGAATTAAAAAGGAATCACACAGAGCAGTTATCACTGTGGCACACAATAGCAAGACTGCCGTGCCCTGAAGTTCTGCCATGGCTGATGAGGCAGTCACTGTTATTGTGTGGGGACGCACTGAACTCTCATTTTCATTTAGTTAAGACTTACTTTGAGCCAGCTGTTGATCTCATTATTGCAGCAGAAGAACAGGAAAAGTGAAGCTGTAGTTTGGACAAAAGCCCCACTAGCAATAAAAATCCCAACATCTTGAAACCTCCATCAGAAGCCTGCCCCACCTCCCTTTCTAAAACAGCAGCAGAAGAAATACAAGACAAAACCATAACAACACTTAGCAGTATTCTCAAGTGTAAATTTAAGAAGATGCAAGTGCTGTGCCATATTCTTCCAGGCTAGTGTAAAGCCTACAAAAAACACCTGCCAGGCCTGAGTACTAAACTGCTAATCAGCACTTTATTGAGTAGAGTAAATGAACTGGAAGCAACTTTAATTTTAACTGCCTTTCACGATCACAGAAGATTTTAGTTACCTCATTGTGGTTTAGTGCTTTAGTGTATAAAACTTCCTGCCACAGACATGGACTCATTCTCATTACTTGATGAAGAGCAAACAGCTTTCTCCACTGTCCCTCTGCTGCCTACTGAGGTAGGCTGAAGGACCTCTTGCACATGCTTCTCTGGATGCAACAGACCCACTATTCCACAAATAGGCCCAAATCAGTTTTGAGCAGAGCTTATGGTACAGCCTATAGTAGAATCAGATACACTTGTATTACAACTACAAAAAAGGGAAAAACTTGTGAAGCATGGGAACAGATTTATTATGAAAGATGGCAGCTCCACAACCCACACCCCCATTAAAAAAAAAAAAAAAAAAAAAAAAAAAAAAAAAAAAAAAGAGAAAGAATTTTAAAATGTAGCACAGTAACCTGGTGCTAAATTTTCTTTAACAAATACTGGAAGTGCAAGAACCCAGCCTTCTAGCCTTCTTGACAGAGCAATGATGAAAAGAAGTGACACTCTAGGGAAAACATTCCTCAGAGATATAACTAAACATGCTTAAAAGATGAAGACAGAAAAGCTAGTTGCAAGTCCATTAGAAAACATCTAGGTTAAAAAGAAAAACCACCCCTCTAGCTTGCTTTCAGTCTGCACTAATTATGGGAGAGAATACATCTCTCCCAGAAATATTTTGCTGTGCAGTAAGGAATAAATGACTTAATTCTTTCACAGAACAATACCCACTATTCAGAGGACCCTGCCATTCCCTCCCTCTGACAAAAGCTGTCAGATCTGGCAAAGGCAGAATAAAAGATGAATCCAGGTCCTGTGATAAAAGGACCTTCTGTGAGAAACCAAAAGTTAAGTCTCTTCTAACCACAGAGATGCACCCAAACTAGGGGGGAAACAAATAAAGAAAAAAATTACAAGCATCTGCCAGCATTATGATACTTGCCAACTACTGCTGACAAAATTAAGTTGTTCAGTTTTAATTCAGCTACAACTTTCCTCTATTGTGAGGCTACAAAAGCCAACATCCTTTAACCTCAATGATTTGAGGTTAACAAACATGATTTGCTCAGCCCACATACTCTGCATGACACGGTAATGCAAATCTGAGATTTTAATATAATGTTTATGCGTGTTTAATATTAATTACATTTACATCTTTAAATTATCCTACTACATTAACAATACTAGATACAATATTTAGAAAAAACAACTAGCATGGTTAAGCCTTCAAATTTTGGTAGTTTTCTATCAAGTATAAAACAGAATAGAAAACAAAGTTTCCATGTGAAGAAGAAAGCATATTTTAACAGAAGCAGCCAAGACCTGCTGTAAAACACAGATCATGTATGCTGACATTAAGACAAAACCTTGTAGTATTAAAGATGCTGTCATTCACTATATTTACAAGAAACTGCCAAATAGTTCATCTACTGACTGCACTATAGTGACTATTTAAAAAACCCACACAGCATCTTTGTCTTGTCCTTTAGAAATAATTTGTATGTACGAAATGACCTTGTTTAAACCATATGTGCTAGAAAATATAGAACTCTGCAATAGAAAGAGGTTAAAGTTGAATACTGTGGAAAAAAATTTATTTAAGTCTATACAAGTCTTCTGAAACAAACCATTGGCTTTGATACAGTAAATTCAAGTGAATACTCATTGCAATAGTATTTTTTCATACAGAGATCAAGAAGCCTTATAGCTTCCCATTTAGTGTCTGTGACAGAAGTTTTATTTCTGAATAAGTAGCTGCACAAAGCAGACGTGATAAGAGATCTCACAGTCACAGTGAGCTACAGTTGAGATAAACTTATATTACAAACATTTCAGAAAATTAGGAATCCATACTGAAGTGTGGCAAAATTATTCACAATGAAAGAACAATGACATGACTGAGACCCCTTGCCAATAATGAAGACTTTCTGCAGCAAGTCTAGAGCAGACCATCATAAAAACCTAGAGTGCAAGAGTACCACAAATTTAGTATATAAATATCACAGGATTAAAACTCCAGTTAAGTCATCAACTGAAGTGATGATTAAAAGGAAAACATGGCATCTCCCAGTTTTGCAAAGGAAGCTTTCAAAGCATCTCTTCAAGAAAGTGCTGATGCCAACTAGGGCCTGTGCCAATTTGTGTTTTAGACTGCACTGCTGAAAGACAAAATTTTAGCAGATTTGTCTAAGAACAGTATAATCCTGCTGTTTTTAATACCTTAAAAAAAGCATTTACTAGAAGAGATGAAATATTACATTTATAGCTCAGTGTTTCCAAGATCTGTGCACACTATATAGTTCTCTAATTTCAACAGAATTTAAAAATACAACAAAGAGCAGACAATGCAGTATTTGTTAGATGGATTTGTTTAGAATAGTTACACAATTAATGTATACAGTTGTAAAATTTTTAGTGCATTTGTTCTTGCACATTATTAATGCTACTTATAAAAACCTGAAGATTGCAAATTCGGCATGCTTACCATAACATTTTCAGACTGGGAAAGCTGCAGAACATTTTTTCTACAAGTGTTCACTGCCATGATACAAAACAAATATGTGCAAACTGCAAGGTCCCTAAAAATAGCATTTAATGACTTTATGTACAGAAAGATGTAACTATCTGTTTAAATATGCAAAGAATAAGCTTCCCAAAGTTTATAACATAGAACAATATCCACCACATGCTCCTCCTCCTCCATATCCTTCTTCCTTGTTTGATAACTTTACACCTCTGTTTTGGCTTTCACTCTCCCACAGTCCAGGAGTCTGAATGATTTTCTCAACAAGTTCTTCAAAGGCACACTGCACACCATCACACGTTTTTGCACTTGCCTCTGGAGAAGAGACACAAAAAAATTAAGTGTTAGCATAACTTCTGGAAACTTGTTTAATATTTCTCTTTCAGTTAAGTTTCAATCTACAACAGACTTAAAACTTCTACATCCTCTTCCTACAAACATAGCGGTGCCAAGATTGGCAACTATGCGGATTTGTCACCACACAGGTAGTACCTCAAAATATCTTAATAGAAGACTTTTCAAGTCAAACTTCACCAGAACATACAGAGACAGTTAGAGCTAAGCTTTATTTTCCTGTGGAAAGCATTCCAATAAGAAAAATGTGGATTCTTGTCTGAAAAACCCGTTTTCTGTTCTGTATTTCAGTTCTGTACATTAATCATAATTGTAGTACCACCAGACCATATGAATCACGGATCCATACTGCAGGATTCTGGGTCAGTCTCCATAATAAAACTCATCTGATAAAAGCAATAACGCATCTCATTCCTTTTGCAGAATTCTAGGTCATTTCACTCGGGATCCTTACTTTGACCAAGACTAAGAAGTCTGCCCACAGGTTATGTTATGAGAACAACAGATACCATCAGAAATTGTTCAAGCCCCACAAGGACTTGCCCTGCTCATCTACACAGCCAGATACTTAGCAAATGTAGCATGCACATATATATATTATCTATATATGCACAGTTATAGTCTAATTTTCATTTTTGTTTTCACCTCCCATGCACTTAGTAGCTTGTGCCTCAACTTTAAATTTTTATTTTCACATCTGATACTGTGGCTAAAAAGAAACACAGCAGGACACTAAACAGAAATAAGTCTTCAGTCAGAGATGAATGTAAGTCTAAGTAGAAGAATGAATGAGTACATATCAACGAACTGCTTTGCTACTAGAATAATCCTGTAAAATAATCTCTTCTGATCCTCAGGTGAAACACATAATAAACATATGCATAAAGAGTCACTTCAACACCCATTTTTAAATTTATCATTACATGGCTTTGCCTACAAGACCCATTTCATTTTGCAGCAAGACAAGACCAATATATCTGCTCCAGTCATAATTATGTCATTACTCAATCCCGCCCACCATTCATAAGTTAATTATATATAGCTAGTTGTTTTTGCATCCTAGTTCTAATACAGATTTCTCTCAGGTGCCAGCCATTTTGCTATACTGAAGGCTGGCCACTAGCACCAGTTTTCCCTCTTTCCTTTTGTTTCTGTTATTAATTTAGCAAGTCAGCTGGGAAAAGAAATCAGACAACACCCCAAACCCAAAACATGTTTCATCGTGCTATGGAGAACCTGTACTCCACCCTTCATCCTTATGAATTTCTACATAATCATCCACAGTTGGAACAGATATCTGGACAGGCACAATTTTAAAAAAACAGGAATACCCATTATCTTTGTGACCCATGCAGGTGAGAGATATCATTAGTTGGACCGTACACTTAAAGACACTCAATCCTACAGAAGAGGTACTTTTCATTAAGTAACAAAAATCAAGAAAGATCTCTGCAAGTATCTATAACATACCTATGAACAACATAGAATGTTTTCTTGCAAATTTGAGGCCTTCATTCCTGTCAACTTCACGGTTTTCCTGGAATAAAACAAAGCATTAATATTCCTTATTAACAAAATACACCAGCAGATTACTTACTGCAGTTGAATTTGGTTTACCTTATCAATCTTGTTTCCAACTAACATTTGCACTATGTCATTCCTTGTGCAGTATGTTTCCAATTCATTTAACCAGTTATCCAGCTTGACAAAAGTATCTCTTCTTGTGACATCATAAACTGAAAGATATTAGTGATATTATTCCACAATATTTTCCAAGAATTACAGCTTACATTACAAAAGGAGCAAAACATTTTGCTTTTTGAATCAGAAAACTGAAGGAGTTCTAAGGATTTAAATTTACCTTCTATATGAAGAACTGGGAAAAAAGTAGGACATCTAACAGCTCAAATCACTGATGCAGAACAACTCCAAGCTTCAGGCACCTGCGATTCTCAGACTAATATTCCTTGATCTTAGCTTACAGGCTAGAAACTATCATTCTCCAAGGAATTCTACACTAGCAGATCTCTCATGTAGGGTACCTAAAATCACTACAAAACAGCTATGCAAAGAGGATGGCACAACCTTCAGTACTGAAGCTATGAAAGTGTTTTTTTCCTTTCTTTTCACATCCCATGTGCAGACAGGCATAAATAGCTTCTTTCAATCAAATTGGTAACGGCTTGCATGAACAACCTTATTTTTTGGAAGACAGGTAACAAAGAAATAGTCAAGAGATATTGAATAAAACGGGAGAACAAATCTCAAAAGCAGAACCTTCTATCTCGCAAACAGCGCTTGTTTACAGCTTTCAACAGTAACTAAGTGGCAGGTTCACTGCAACTAAGTGACTTGATAGGACACGTTTTGACAGCACCTTCCTATACCAGGAAGATAACGCAACTCACAACCTGGGAAACCTACCAGGAGGTCACGTGACAGATGTTATTCCAAATGAAACAATAACTAGACACAATAGCTTAGCAAGATTCTCTAAAGTCAGAAGCAACTTCAAGAAAATTAAATGTACATCCCCGCCCTTTAGTCAGCTCCTCACTCCTAGCAGTGGAGAAGCGGAACTTCAGAACTCAGTGCCTCATGCTTCCAGAAACCAAAAAAAAAAAGAAGCACAAATGAGACTTCACTGTGAAGCTGAAATCATGGGTTTTCCCCAGGTTTCTCACACACAGATTGGTGCTTTCTACATGCCCAGCTGGTCTTTTCTAAGTGATTCTGACTGTGTAACATTGGATCACTTGGGAAACAAATAACAAATAACCTCAGCCAGATCCCACATTGTTTATATTATTAATTTCATTAGGAAAAAAAAAATTTCTTCTCCCTCTTCATTAGAGGGAGAAGAAAAAGAAAAAGCTGTATCATACGGATCCAGAGAGACTAAACTGAGGGAATTTTTTTTTTACTCTGCACTTAACAAGCATGGACAAAAATAAAAAGGAATAAACAAAAGACAAACTCATGACAGCACAAGGACAACAGCTCCAAGCTATCCTTTCAGATAGCAGTAGCTTTTATTCTCTTGCAAAAATCAGAAGTTCTCAAGCCGGTCAGATTGACTACATGAGAAAGAAGTTGAGACACCAATATGCTTTTATATGAGTTGTTCAACACAGATACAAAGATTTTAAATATCAATTAGATGTTATATAAAGGCTATATGAGACTAAATATCAATCAGATGTTATATAGAGGCTATATCATTTGTGCAACTCCAGTGCATGAGAAAATCACAAATATTTAAAATAGCATGCAAAGACATACTTACCTAGGATAACACCTTGTGCACCTCTGTAGTAACTGGGGGTTAATGTTCTGAACCGCTCCTGACCTGCAGTATCCTAATAAGCCATTCAGAAAGTTCTGTTACTTAGAATTTCAGCAGAATGCAGTTTAGCTTTCAGGTATTCTACTTCTAATGAACATACAAAGTAAGAGTTAAACTATATTCCACTAGCAGATTAGCTGAGCTTATTCCATCCTCTGCTGTTTTACTACACATTAACTTTGAGATTTTATGTACTCTGCCCCAGGAAGCACCTATGAACTACTGGATGTAGTACGTAACTGGAACAATAAGATGGCCATTTCTGCAAAGGCATTTGATCTGCAAATAGCAGTGGAACAACCAGCAAGAAAGCAGCATAGCTGCAGTACTAAGATTTTCTAACAAGCATCACAGCCCATGACAACCAAACCAGTTCCTTCACTTCAATCACTTGGTCCAATTAAATTTGATTAGGTGGACTAACATGCTATAACAAAGCAGAAGCAGGAATAAGTCAGAGGTTCTTCTGATTTTTAGCAAAGTTGAGTTTACATTCTAAAATTTAAAGAGTCAATAGCTCTGAAAAAAACCCCAAAACCCACCAAAATTAGAATGCTGTTTTCTTATCAGAGATTAGGTTATAGTGCACATTCATTGAAGGCTTTATGCATAGAATATTTAAACAACTTTATTCAGTTTACCCAGGTTAGAAGTGACAGAGGAAACACCGTGGATTCCCTGACAAAGAACCTGGATAAGCAAACTAGACTTCAACATTCTACAAGCCACTCAGTCAACATCACATATCTAAAAATGGTTTAGTATCATGATGCATCTTCACAAGCTTTTCTTTTCCAGTTTACCTCTGGATTATTTCTTTCTATTTACCAAAATGAAAGAAAATAAACCCTAACTTATCATTCCTTGTTCTGCTATCAGTCTGGTTTTCCTTCTGTATGCATTCTTTATTTTCTGTGAAGCTATTGCACTTATTTTCCTCGTCAAACCCATTTATTTCACTGATGATTACTACTGTAACTAAGACATAAGTCCTGTTTGTTAGTGAGGTATGAAGCTACATGCTTCTGTAGCTCCAAGCCACAGAAACACTGCAATACACATTTCATGTTCTACTACTACTTCCCAAGGAAACAAAGGTCTGGTATCTTACTTATATGAGAAACAAAGTTTTAATCTTGCTTGGTACAAGTAGACACAACTGGGTCCGACTATCAGAAACAGGCTTCAAGACACGTAAGTGTGGAGTCTGGTTTACACAATGGAGATTATTTTTAAAAAGCTTAGAAGTACTTTTTCTTCGCTTGCTGTAATGGAAGCTCTACTTTTAACTAGAGTAGAAGTTGAACACACTAAAGCTATTAAAGATTACAAACACTGCCCCTCTCTCTTTGAAATGATCTGCTACAAATAATTCTGATGTTGAGCCTATAGAAGCCTTCAAATGATGGCTATGAAGCTTAGACAAAAAATGGGTCTAAAGAGGTAACATATGAGCATGCAACTGTACTTCTTAACCCCTTAATACACAACCTCAGTGTTACAGGCAAAATTTAAAGAAGTGCACCCTTCTACTAATGTAATACCATTTAATTCCTCCTTTTCTCTACTTCTATCCCAACCAGACCTGCAATTAGTAATGCAGAAGCTCACAGGCAGCAGAACTACCCCCTCAACCAGTTGTCCCACACTTCACTGCAACTTCTAAATGCTGCAGAACCTCCCACTTCTCCAAATCACCTTCATATTAATAGAAAAAGATTCTATACAAACTATACATTACAGAAACCCTAGCTATTCCTAAAGCAAAGCAACACATGAAGAACTTAGGAGAAACTTACCCATATTGCCAGTTTAGCTTTGTTTCCATCAACTGAAATAGTTTTCACCTTAAAGTCCACACCTAGAGGAAGAAAAATATTTTAATTCCTCAAATATATTACAGTTATCTTTGAAAAGTAAAATAAAGAGAAATGGAAAAAATAAAATCAAACTCAAAAAACACCACATTTTAACACAAGCAGGAAGAATAAGTTTCATTAGCTATTTATGAACCTTGCTCAAAATGTAAGATTTTCTTGCTAGCAGGCTTTTGCAAAAGCCTAGGGGTCTTTTAAGCCATTGCGTCAAAATATTTTATGGAAGTAAGGCAAATACTATATCTCTTGTATTAAAGCACGTATTCCAGGACAAATTTTCAAGTTTATAATTCAAATGGATTAACTTTCTACTCATTACTCACAAACATTCTCCAAACAGACAACAAGGTAATGGTTCTGCTGGTCAGTTACCTACTCCAACATGTAACAATTCTTCCCCCTTCATGTGTCCTCCACTCCCAGGAACTAGCAGCCTACCAACTGCTCAAGGACAAGATGCACAAAACTCAGGCCAAGGAGAACAACATGCTAGTGACTGATAATTTAAAGGATATGGAGACACATATCTGTTTGAGAGGCTCAGAGTTATGACACATTATGCTTACATTTAACCCTTAGGTTACTAATAGCAAGTAACTAACTAGAAATACGTTTCAAGTATTTTGGAGCGACTTTCACTTCTCACCAGGCAGCAGCTCTAAAATGAAGTAGCAGTATGGAAAGTTGATACTTCTACAAGAACAACTTTCAAGTGCAACAGCAACCTTTTTGTACTTGGAATTACAATGTCAATTATCACACTCCCTACCAGAAAATTAATTAAACTATTCTGATACAAAATGAGCAGAGCCTCAGGATGAGTGCACTGCACTTACATTCCCAAATTCATGCAGATTACAAACAAATATAAACAGCTGCCAAAATACATTCAACTTAAAGTCACAAAGGATGATTAAGAAACTGCGTATTATAAGCAGATTAAAACTTCAGTTGCACTGAACTGTAGAAGTGCTTTGTTTCAAAAAAGGTAAATACAATTTTTATTCCACTGCTTCAGCTCATTGAAGTGTCAGGTGCTTTTCAGACAACATTCTGCCCTGGAAGAAGCAGATACTCTCAAGCAAAATCTTCCCAAACTACATCAGCTTTTGTAGTATCTGAACAGAACTTTGCTTTTTTCAGGTACTAGGACTCTCAGTCCCTAGCTTAGCAGTAATATAATGCTCCATACCATGCACAAGAATGGTACAAGATTCTACAGTTATGTTCACAGAAGAGAACAGTCATTACTAACTTTATTTTAAACACCAGTTCTTAGAATTTTACCTAGTTCACAGAAGATTGCTATGGTAGCAATTTGACTCAATTTGAAGCTAGAGAACATTCTGTTCTATCCACTTTTCAGCACTCAGCAGTAACTTTCAGACTAAGAGAATCTCTTTCTTACACTATAATTGCATGTTACTTCCCCTGAACTCCAAAAACCCCCATATGCAGCTAGGTCAGCATGCCCAACAGTTCACAGTGCATTCTTTTATCCATTAAACTGGCACCAAAACCTGTAACTGCAGCTATTACAATTCTATTGGATACTTAATATGAAAAGCACATAATCAATTTCAAGAAAATAAAATTTCTTCCTTAATATAAACATTATTTTATGTATTTTAAAGCCACAGTATCCTCCCTTCCATTCAGTAAACAGATTCAGAATCTTGTGCCTGCACAGTTCAGCAATTTTCATTTAATGGAAATAGACATATACACCTTTATGCTAGCTTTGCTGCTGGTTTAAAATTCACTTTAAATTTTGCAAGACCAATGCAAGTAAAATAAGAAACTAAAATAGTGACTTAACCCCATGCATTACTATACGTTGAAAAGCAAGAGTATGAAAATGAACTAATAACACACCAAAATACACCCTTTAAAGTGATTGAGGCAAGTAAAATAGAATTCTAACAAACAGAGGAGCTCAATACATATAAAAGCCAAAAAAAAAAAAAAAAAATGTTTAAATAGTTATGTTTTTGGTTGCCTGTCTGCTATAAGGAAAGACAAGTATAAAAAATTTAAGGCTCAAGAAAATCTTGTTGAATTGAACAAACAGGGTACTTATATTTCCTAAAACCAACAGTGAAACACAGACATGTTTGTGTGACAGGTATCAGTTCTGACCTCGCAAGAGTGATGTGTCTACCCTTGACAACAGAAAGCTGACAGTGCTTTCCACCATGCCTTGGAAGGCAGCCAGAAACAAGACAGCACTACTAGACTGTACTCCTGTGTGTTAACACCTCCTGCCTTAGCACTACTCACACACTATGGACTTACAATCTGTGAGAAGCAGCTCTGACACTGATACTGCTCTCACATTCAGGCCAGCAATGCTACACTCTGTTTACAGAAGTGCAGAATTTGCTACAGTGTAGTATTTGTGCTGTAGGTAAGTGACAAGTTGGACAGCTTAGGAGTTTGAGGACTCCAAATGCAAGGAAAGCTAAAAAGTTAAGAGACATCAGATCTAAATACATCATTTCATTTGCGAAATACGGATTGCACTGAACACTTATCTGGAATCTCTCATACAAAGAGCAAGCAAGTGAAGACAAGCATGAGCAGTAAGAACAACAGAAAATACTGGGGTACGTGTAGTCTGGTAAAACCCATATGATGAAGCCCAGCAAAAAAGCCAGCCCCAACAGAATACAAGGACAGGTAATCTGCCAGGTTAAATACAACATGTTTAATCCAACTGAAGCTACTAAAGCTAAACTATTTGCCAAAAGCAGCTTATTCTTTGAAGAATATCACAGGATTTTTACTAAGTTCTTGATTTACTAATAATTTAGGGTTTCTTTTAGACTGAACCCAATAGGTCTGTGCAATCTATGAAGGTAAGCTATGTCTCAACAGGTCATCACAGAGGACCAGCTGACAAGGCTTTCTTCAGTATTGTGGGTTTCTGTGCAGTTCTTGCTATATCTTAAAGAAAACCAAACCAACCAAAGTTCTCTTCACTGTCTAATACAAATTTAAAAAAATACAGTCACGTTAACCAGTTCAGTGGTCAACATGAAGATGACATTGAAAGAAGACATTATTTATAGTCCCTTCATTTTGAAAAAGCACCATACTCCTCAGTTTCAACAGGAAAGGCTTTAAAATTTATTCTGTCCTTCTGTCCCTTAACTCAAAACAAAATAGTGTTTAATTAGCACAAAAAGAACTCCAAGCCGAGACTCACAAAGTTTTGACATTTCACCATCTTGTAAATACCTGAAATTGGCATCTAGGGTCTGTGTCTTCATGCAGCAGAATAGTTACCTCTAGGAACTCACTCCAACTGCTTTATCTATATGGACAACAAATCATGCCCTGAATTTAAAGACGACATTTTGCTTCTTAGAAATACATTCACCAGAAAAGAGGCAATGGCATTGGATAGTGGATTAAAAAGAAAAATGAGAAAACAAGTAAGAACCCAGACTCTGTCCTCTTCCAGCTAAGTTGACAAAAAAATGAATCTCTGCTATCCCCCTAGGAGTGCCCCACACACCATGCTGTAGGACTTGCACAGCTGGAGTCACAGTAGCCCTACTGTACAGCACTACCTCAAACATCAGCTATACAGCCCTAACAGGGTGATATACGCCAGCACTTGCTCAGTCTCTAGAAACTGACTTTTCCTGCCAAATAATCATTCCAGGTGAGTATATCTGTTGTATACTTGTTTCAGAACTCAAACTCTATCTGTAGTAATGCTTATATTAAGTACTCTCCCTCCTTTTCCACACCAGAAACAGAGTAGAGTAAGACCGGCCAAGTAGGATCTACCAGCAATGATCTACCAAATTCAACAACCTCGAATAGTTGCTATTTAACCATCAGTGATTAGCCACCACACATGTTGTTGTGCATGTTGACAAACCTGAAGAAGAATTACTTCAGGAAATATTTACTTAGTTTCTCAAATTATGTCAGTTTTTGACACAGTACAAACAGCAGAATGAAAAAAAGAAACCCCACCATTAAAAACAAACAGAAAATCCCCAAACAATAAAGATGCCCACTCAGAGACTGAACTACTCTTTTGCTATCCAAAAGATCATGAAAGCTGAAGTAGCTATTATGCACTAACTTCCTGGCTCACATGGTAGGCATATCAAGAAAGTAACAGGACCTGAAGTATATACAGTGCCAAAACTACTAGATTAGAATCCAAGATTGCCATCTTCATCACCTGGTCTATTTCATTCCTGTTTCCTTCCATGCTGTCCTCCCTCATAAACTGAGGTGGTGCTACTTGCAAAACTTCATTTTTATAAGCATTGGAACGAACAAAAATAGGCCACATTCCTCCCCTTGGCTTCTCAGTGCTTTATATGAATCAGTACTCCTGAATCTTATTAACGTTAACGAAAAAAAAAATCAATTTATTTAATTCTTAATAAATTAGAGCTGGTTTTGCTTACCAACAACTGAACCCAAAGAAAAAATCCTATATAAACTCTTAGACAGAACTCTTCCTACAGAGAAAGCAAAAAATGCAACTGAAATGATGGTGTGAAAAAGTATCTCTATTTTCCATAACTTCAGTTTGGCAATTTTCCATAACTTTGGCAGAGAGTTGCATCACACTATTAAAAGTTCCATTTTGCTTCCCTTGAGAACCAATCCACTTAGTGCATCCTGCATTCTGGGTCACTCTCCCCCAGAACAACTGACCCATGCTGGTAGGTATAATACCAGCACAGCACTGACACGTCACTGCCTTTTTCCCCAGCAGCTCCACATTCTTGGCTCTCTTCCACTTTTCTCGGAAGTCTAGCTGCCAAGGAACTGACTGCTAAGAAGAAGTAAAAAAAGCCACGTTGTAATTTCCTCTCTACCGAGGAAAAGCAGATGCCACTCCGAGCCCAGGGCACTCAAGTATCGTTAGAAGTTGAAAGAGTTAACACTACCTGCTACAGAGTCTGAATATAGCTACCAAGTATCATATTACACACACACAAGGTCTGGACAGCAATACTATTAGTCAAAAACCTGACACCTATTTTGCACAGAAAAATCAGTAGGAGAGTATTTGTTCTTACAGAAAGGCAAACACATCTGAACTTCACTGTATGTTAGGTAAGTCTGAACAAACCACAATTTTACACTGAAAATGTTATCAGTTTTTCTAAGGTAGTATTAGCACATACTTACCAATTGTTGCTGCAAGTTCTGGGTCAAATGTATCATCTGTGAACCGCAGCAGAAGGCTGATAGGGGAAAAAAGAAAAAAAAGAGATACTACTATTGCAGCATATCCATACCTTGCTGGAAGCTTATAATTTACAAGTCTGAAAAGAACAGCAAGACCACATAGCTAAATAAACTCATATCTGAATTTTAATTTTTTTTTTTCTTTTTGGTAGGAGAGAAGATATGGAAAAAAAGAATAGAACATGGAAAGAATAGAGCAGACATGCTCTGCTACCTGAGCACATATCTGTTCTCTGCATGTATTACCAAGAATGCCTCTTTGAAAACAAAGTACCACACAAGCTGTCGAATCAGTTGCCTGAGCAGTTATGTGATCTGCTTTGCAAAGCATTTTACTTCAACCTTATTCTATTTTCCTTCTTTCAGAACTCGGTATAAAAGTAGTGTTTTTTTGTTTTGTTTCAATATTGCTTCACACAGTATTTCTGTAAGCTTGAGAAATAAATTCCAAGTCAGCTTTTCATCCCAGAAATAACTCCTTGAACTGGCCACACAAGGGAACAGCAAAGACAACACCCATCAGAAATAAAGACACAGAAGCTGAAGAGCAGAAATAGCTCCCCAATGTTTTATGATTCTGTATTTCTTTGTATATAACAACTCACACAGACAATATTTCCCCCATCTTAATGAATGTGTTTGCTACCAACAGAAAAAGCTACAACTAAGATTAAACAGCACATCACACCATAGCAATGCAGGGTCCCTTAAAGAAGTGCCCATAATGCCACCAGTGTGAAATGTAAATATTTTTGGGAGAGACAAAGATTCTGAGCATGCAGTTCCTAAAATCAGCAGTCTTTTCCTGTGACCAAGGCTTCTACTCATTTCCAGGATGGAGAAACAAAACAAAGCCTTATCTGCTTCTCAGTCTTCCCCACCACCCTGTTCTTTTCTCCTCTTTTTGCGTGTGAATTAAGAAGTGCTTTTTAGCATTTGGACACAGTCCTGCATTGACAAAAATAGTGACCACTGAAATTCCTTTATTCAAATGAGGATGAGTGACAACTTGAAGTTACTCACAGACCAATGTTTCTTTCTCTCCTTACTCCAGAACCCCAAAAGCAAATGGTAGCTTTACTTACCAAAGAATAATTAAAATAATAATAATTTTTAAAAAATCACAGCACACAGGTTTTTCCTAGTACCTTCAGATGGTTTTATAAGGATGCTATTTAAGAGCAGATATTTTTAGTTACAACCAATACTAGTTTCATTCAGAACAGAGAAATTATGGAACCCCTATACTGCTATTAGAATAAAACCATCCTTTTACCAGTCTTGCATGCCTAGCCCAGCCAACTTCTACCTTTTTTAATATGTAGCCATCATCTTCTACAAAGCACAGCACAGTCATAGGGATCATGTTTAAGACAGCATTTGTTCAGAATTCAGGACTTCAACCACCTACTCCACCTTGCTAATACCTGTTTAGCATCTGACCTTTCCTAGTCAACCAATAGGTAGGAGACACAAATTTAGAAATAATTCAATATTAAGTTCCTGTACCGAACAACTCCACTGTTATTGTTTAATAGCGTTTTTATTTCCTCCACATAATGCCTGTTTTAGCAAGCTTTCTGATGTAAAGAAACATGTATATAAATAAATATGTAAACCCACTGTGTGTTTTACCTGCCCCAGGAAAAATTCTTCCATATGGCCACTCATATGTGAGATGACCTCAAGTAAAAGAAATCTGCTCAGGTCATGTCTGTCACAAGGGGTCTACTGTACTAATTAGGAATTCAGTAGCTAACTCAAACGAGTAACTGACAGACTTTTAACAAATATGGGTGCTTCTTTTCCCTAATTAGCAACTTGTATGTAATTTGGGGTCACGGCAGAGGACGTATATTATTGCCACAGAAATATCAAATATAAAATTACCAGTGTGGTACATTCCCAGACACTCTTCTGCACACTCTTTAGTAAGAAGTACGTTATTATCAAAAAAAAGTTTAAAAAACCCACAACACACAAACAAAATCCCAGCTCCTTAGGGTTGGTATCTACAGCTTAGCCAAAGCAATGAATACGGCAGGGAGGAAGAAATCAACCTCAATGTACTTGATAAAGCCTATAATTAGCAAAAAAACAAAACTGTGTCAGAACTACTTTGCTGCGTCCCCGTGCTCCCCCTCACACACCCAATGCTGGATCACTTGTGACTCTGCATATACGTCTTTCGGACTAGACATTAACCCCAAAGCGCTATGGAGATGTACAAGGGCACCTATCTCCGCACAACGCTGCCCGGGCACAGGGCGGCCCAGGTGACCCGGGCAGCCCGACAGAAGCCCCGCTTCACCTGCCCGCAGCTGGACCGGGCACACACCGGCCCAGGGCCCGCGGCTCGGGAGCGCTGCGGAGGAGGAGGAGAAGGAAGAAGAGGGAGGAGCTGGGGGAGAATCTCTCGCCTGCCGGAGAGCTGGCCGGGAAGGCAGCCGGCCGGGAAGCGACCCGGCCAGGAAGGGAGCCGGCCGGGAAGGGAGCCCCCCCTCCGCGGGCCCGGCCCTGCGGGGCGCAGGCCGCGCCCAGACGGCATTGTCCCACAGGGGGCCTAGGCCGGAGCCGGCCGGCCAGGAGAGGCTGTGGAAGGCTGTCGGGCGCCCCCTCACCTGGACTTGCCGACGCCGCTCTCGCCGATGATGAGGATCTTCAGGGTGGTCAGCACGTCCTCGTCCATCCCGGCGGCGCTCCCGAACCGGCCCCGACCGCCCGAGCTCCGTGCGCAGCTGCGGCGGCGACGCTGCGCCTGCGCAGGGCCGCCTGCGGTTTGTTTACAGCGGGCGGGGCGGGCCGGCCGTGCGCGCATGCGCGGGGCCGCGGCTGGGGGAGCGGCGCGGCCGGGCTGTGACCTGAGGCGGGTGGGGGAGCCCCGCGGGGTTTGCGGCTGCGGTCCGTGGGGAGAAAAGGGACCGAATAAAGTGGCAGCGAGTTTTTTAGGCGTTGGAATGGGCTGCCCGGGGAGGTGGTGGAGTCCCCGCCCCTGGAGGTGTTTTAGTGAGGAACGGACGTGGCATGCGGTGCTGCGGTGTCGGCTGGGCTCGATGAGCTCAGAGCCTTTTGCAGCCTCGCTGGTTCCGTGGTGCCTGCGCCGCACGAAGGCGGCGGGCAGCGCCCGGTGCGGAGCGGGGCCAGCTGCCGCCCCCGCGGGGAGCAGCTGCTCGGAGCTGCCCCAAACACGGGCTCCTTCGGGGCAAGCCGCGCTGCAGGCCAGCTGGGCCTGACACCACCTGCTTTCTGCCGGCATCTTAACGCTCTCCCTTCAAAGCCAAAAATGCTGGTTCGTTGGTTAGTTGGGTTTTTTCCGATTCCGATGAGAAAGTCTCTTTATGACCAATTCAGCTAACCTAATATTATGGCTTGAAATCTACCTCAGGCCACGTGTAAACAAGTGCAACTCCTCTAAAATTAACAGAGTACATGTCAGATGTGAGCCTGAGATTCCTCGACCAGTGCTGTAGTCCTTGGCCCAGCTGAGCAGCCTCTGGGCAGGCCAGAGACTGATCCCACCAAATAAAAACGAGTTCAGGTCCTCCCATGATCATGTAAATCAGGCACACAGCCAGTCACTCCAAAGGAAGAGATCAGGCCACCTCAGCAGTTTGCACAAAGCAGGTGCACCTGTGAGGCCATCGTGGTTTCTGGCAGTGATGGCTGCAGAGGGCACAGCTCTTCCAGCTGACTCCTGACTCTGCTGAGCATTTGCTTTCACCTGAGTTCCAGGGTCAACACAGAAACTGTTCTCTTGTATTTTTGTGGTAAATCTCCCTGTTACCTGGCTTCTACTTTCGGAATCTGGTCTCCTGACTCTTTTACCTCAGAAAAATAAGTCTCAGGATGAGTACAATAACAATAATTATCCTATTAAACTAAGGAAATGTATTCTATAATTAAATGTGCAAACAGCTGGCTATGTTTACAGCAGCACTGTGCCTGTTTGTAATGAATAATCTAAAATTTGTTGAAGGTGTTAGAGTTCTTGTAGTCTGGATTGTGGTTTGCAGTAGTGCAAGAAATCAGAATGTCTCTACTCTCTAGTTTTTGTTGAAGTGTACAGAAACTCTGGGGTCTTAGCATGGATCAGGATTTGAATTTGGAAGGTCTATACAAAGAACAAAGTATTCCACTAAGGCTACTGAATCTCTTGAAGTGAGAGAGTATGTGTATTCTGGGATTAGGTTTTTTCCCACTGCAGCCATAGAATTAAACTATTCAATGTGGATTTTAGTCATGATTCAGATCATAATCCTATACCTTACTCAGAATGAAGGGCTGGTCAGGATGGTGTTCAGATCTTTAATGATGAGCATATACAAGAAACAAGGGAAAACTTGCCCTAAATGAACAGTTCTGTAACTCATACTTATGGATGTGATATTTTAGACCTTCTTAGGCATGCCCTTTGAGAACAGGTATTTCTCCAGGTTGTCCTCCTTCAGGTGGAACTATGTAGTCTCTCACTCTGAGATTGGATCTGAGTGCTGCAGTCAGCCTGTTTGCTGTCTGCATATCTATTTAAATTCTGGAAAACCTATTGGCCTATTGCAGGAACCAGCTATTGGATAATTAAGGTGTCTCAGTCCTTCAAAACAAGAGTATTATTTATTCATTGAAAGATATACAATGATCAGAATATTTTTCAACAAATTTTTGTATAGTTTCTTCATTGAAGCTGTCTCTGAACTGGAAGAGACATCTAACCTGCTGTAATTCATGGGTGCCTGTCTTTTTCCTTGCCTGCTTTTCAGTACTCTTCAGGAGTCCTTGCTTATGCCTAACAACTAGCCCAATCCCTTGAATAAGGCTGGGAGTGTTTTTCTTTTTATCGTTTATTGTCCCATTTGACCCTGACCTCAGATATGGCAGGGTCAACCCATAGCAGTGAGGCTAGTCCTGCCTGATATTCAGTCTTCCTAGAAGAAGTCTGGAGATTTATTTTTTTTTTTTATGCTATGCTGTTTCCTCTTGATTTCTTCTCAGTGATCTCTGCATTTCTGACAGAATGGCACAGAGCAGATCAATTTGTCTGGAGATAATAAATATAAATAATTATGCATATATAGTTTCCTTATTTTAGATACACCACTGAGGGAAGTAGTCTGATGGTGGAAAACTAGCATAACTTATTCCAGGGCTGATCATTGCTATGGGGCGACAGAGACAGACAGACATCACCTTTGCACTTCAGAGCTTCCCCTCATGCTTTACAGTCTTGCATGTGCCTACCTGGTTCCTGGTTTGATACAGGGCTCAGACTAGAAGAATGTCAGGTCCATCTCAGCTTGTGCAAATATATGCAATCAGTCCTCCTGAGCTTTTGATTACTTCAGGGATGTGACAAAGAAGGAAGGACATCTTGATGATGATATTGTGTACTCTCACCATTAAAATTCCCTATCCACTGTATTACAGACTTGGCTATATCTTTGACCATGAAAACAGATGGGAGACTATTTATAGTCACTCCCTCAGGGCTGGGATCAGTAATGAAAGGACCATTGCACTTTATGTACCCTCAAGGGACTGTAGAGCAGTTGCATAGTGCAGTGCCCTTATGCAGGCACTGAGAGCAAGTGTAGGTGAGAAGGACCTCCATCCAGTTTGTTCCTGCTGAACCAGCTGCAGGATAACCTTGGCAACAGAGATGAGTGTGTCAGTAATAATCATCTATTACCCTGAGAGACAACCTGGAATAAACAACAAAAGCTCCCTCAGTCTCATTCTGGGTCTGAAAGACACCTGGGAGCCTTTGGTAAGTTCACTTGAGCCCTCTGTCTCACTTCCACAGCTTAAATAAGGGCATAATGGTATTTGCTATTAGAAGACTGCAGAAACAGCATGGATCAAGGGAGCTAAGCTGCCAGCACTGCTTTGTTTAGCATGAGCTCTGAAATTCATTATGGGAGAGTATCCCCTTAACTGCATGGCTGTCCTCCTGTCTCTCTATGCCATCACAAGTGAAAACAGGCCTTGAAATGTATAGCTTCTGTTTTGGCTGTCTAGGTACATACACGTCTCAGGAGCATGCACCTCTTGAGGTGACAAAGTCCTTAATTCATTGACACTCTCAAAGATTTTCTCAGGCCAATCATGCACAATGTGCAGCAGAAGCTGAGAAGCTCAACCGCTTCAGAGAGAAGTTGACAGCAATCTACTGCTGCAAAGACTAATCCTGCTGTCCCATTTCCACATTGTGAGGCTGACCCATATGTTGATGTGGCAGTGAGTCAGGAGTTATGATTCACAGTGAAACAAGCGTGATTGCTAAACTCACCAGTCCCACCCAGCAGAGATGACACACTTATGTATGCTTGTTCTTTTTTCTGCTTCATGAAGTAATTTGCAAGGTTTGTAAAACTGTCACTGTGTCATATTAAGGGAGGTTCCTTCTCTGTGTGACATCCTTAAATGCACTCAGCACATCTCTATGATTTCACATTCAATGAATAAAAGCAAGGAGTGAAAGTGCTGCAGCAGTCCCAGAATTCCAGGCAGGATTCATCTGGAGACCACACTGCAACGTAAATGACTCTGCTATGTCTGGGCACTCCTTTTCTAAAGAACCCAGCCTATTTTTATGAAGAAACTATGTAATTATCTTTCTCTCCCCTGCTTCCAGCAGCAGCCAGAGCTGGGTACTCCCATCTGTTGATCTTCTCAGTGTCTGCTTGGTTTCTGTGAACAGTAAGGCAGATTTAAGACTATAGGCACATTAGCTCTGGGCAATTAAAATACACTGCTTATAATCAACACAGTTTAAAAAAGCATTGAGGCTATGACAGAAATTGGCTATTTGGGGAAGAACAACAAGAAAAATATTGTTTCAGCCACTCAAAGAGTCATGGTTGTATATGAGAATGATATGCCAGTATTTTTCAGAGGAAACCAACATATATTCTGAAGATCAATAGCTGAGACTTGCATAATGACCATGAGTAGATTGCTGATTTAGTGATAGAATAATGTGATTGCTGAAAATTATATTAAAAACTTGATTGCATGCTTTGCAGTTTTATTTTGCTAGATATAAGATGCAACTTCCACGACACCACATCTTACTTCTCTGATGGAAAATTATGACAAAGGCTAGCCACCTCCTACTTATATAAAATTTGGTTCAGATAAATTGGCTAATTGTTTAATCACAAGTAATGCAAGCAGTAATCTTAAAACCAACAATTTATCTTTCTGCATTGTGTAATGAACCTTATACCAAGGGAAGCTTTTTGTACTGGAAGACCTAAATACTATTTTTTTAATGTCTCTAAAGCAACCATTGCAATCCTAAATAACAATGAGAGAGTAGATTACTGTTTAGAAATGTTAGATTCCTTACAAAACTTTGATTACACTTTACACGATAAGAAAACAGCTCTGCTATTTGAAGTGGACCTATCATCTATTGCATCAACAATGAAAAGGGTGAGACAACAGATTTCAAAGAACACAGTAAGAACAACAAAGTTTGGATGTTAGTTTTCCCACAGTTGCTCTTCATGTGCACTTCATGAACATACTTAACTGAGTGCTCTGAATTTGGTTTTTTTTTTCATAGCAAGAGTAGTTGTATCCAGTGGAGCACAATATATAATAAATTTAGCACTCAGAATTGCTTACAGTGGAAAAGACCCCCTGCAATCATTGAATCCAGCCTTTGAGTGATCACCACCCTGTCAAATAGACCATGGCACTGAGTGCTACATCCAGTCTTCCGTAAACACCTCCAGGGACTTCACCACCTTCCTGGGCAGCCCATTCCACTGTTTAACA